TTCGTTTCCATTGATTTTGAATTAGGATTTATAAAAAAAATACATTTAGTTTTTACTTTTTAACACTCCTCTAAAACAATCAATATTTCTATTGATTTTTTAAGCATAAGCTTTAAAATAATTGATTGTAGATATTGTATTTGAGATGAAGTTTTTTAAACAAACAGTAGTAAAGGTTTGAGATTTAATAAATCGCTTAAATTCAATAATTATTTCATTTCAATTAACTTTTAATTATCAATCAAAATACGTTTATAAATTTGAAAAGACTTCATATTTTTAAATTGATTTATTAAATGAAAAATCTATTTCTCAGACATATAATATATTGAACTAATCGTTTATTTTTTCAATTGTAAAAAATATTTGATATTTTTTTATAAGAATTTATGAATTATTGATGAGTGAAATTTAAAAGTCTATAAAAACAGCTATACTTCAAAAGCATTTTTACCAAATTTTAACCTTAAAATAGATTTATATTCGATTTCAAAGATATGTTTCATAACTTACGACTGAATAAATCCATTGAATATTCTTATTGAATAAACATTGCGCTAATGTTTTATGCATTTTTATAATACTGTAAATACAATTATTTGTATGACAAACAGAAACGGCAGAGAGAAGTGATGCCTCAGCAGCACATATCACAACTGCCGAGATTAGGGACACTGGTGTCCAGTTTGGACGGCCATCAGAGAGTGAACCTTCACTGTCGGGTTGTGGTGTTAGGAGCGGCCAAAGTGGGCAAAACAGCAATCGTCGAGCAATTCCTTTACGACGCCTTCCCTGTCCTCCACTCAGCGACTGTCGAGCAGTTATATAGAGCCGAATATCAGGTCCGCGGAACCGGTAAGTCATTCAAACCCTATTCTCATTCAGTGCTCACATTTCAACACTTAATTAGAATCCAAAGAATTCTTTGATTGAAAATAAAGTCTTCCAAAGAATTCATTGAAAATATTTACAATTAGATAAGAAATGAATCGAAAACGACATAAACTGAAAGAAAGATCGTTTTATTTGATTTATAGTTAACACACACTTAGGCTATACTTTCCATTCTCTTTATTGAATGTCAGAGTATTTTATCCATTATTTTGCGTGAAATTGAGTTTCTATTTACTGTCAAACTATAGGTTCGCTAACATTAGACATATTGGACACGAGTGGGTCATATGAATTCCCAGCGATGAGACAATTGGCCATAAAATCGGGCGACGCTTTCATTTTAGTATTTTCTGTCGACGACTCGGAGACCTTCGAAGAGGTCCGACGGCTCAGGGAATTGATATTAGAGATAAAGAGTTCGGACAACAACGACATCCAACCGGTGATCCCAATCTGTGTCGTCGGCAATAAAAGTGATTTCGACGATAAAAGAGTCATAAGAAAGGTATGCGTTTGTATCCACACATTCACTCATACTGTATACCCATTTAAAATCATTATCGCCTTAAAAAAGAGTCGTTACCTTCGCTCCAATTCATAGCATTTATTTATTTTTCTTATTATTTCGAAAATATTTTATTTTTTCACTTTGAATTGAGATTTGAGATGAAAGTGAGAATCCATACGACAAACAAAATCAATTGAAAAATCATTCTTCTTTTCGTAGAAAAAGTTTGTAACTTTTATTGAGAGCACAGAAGAAAGAAAACATATTTTTCCAAATATAATAAAAATAGTAAAAATAAAACATTAATTTAGTTGCATTAAAAAACCCACTAAAATATTTGTATTGTACTTCCAATGGCTGAACGCCCACTGAATTCTCATTATATTCTAGGATTTTGTATGGGTTGATAAAAATTGATTTTTAATTGTATTTCATATTTATAACCCATTAATAACTGAATTATAATAATTATCTTACCATTCAATTATTATTATTATTTTGTATACGTTGTCAGAAAGAAATTTACAATAAAATTATATCTTAATATGCAATGACGACGACTACCTTACGTCTAACTAAAGCGTTTAAAAGCAATTATTTTTAAAAATCTATTAATTTTGAGCAATTTAAAAAATAATGAACAATAGTCTTGAAGGACTCAACGGTAAATGCCGTTACTATAACAATGGGCTCACTTTTCTCATCTTTAATAAGTAATTATAATAATCATTAAAAACTTTATTTTTATTAATAATTTACATAATAATTATGCTTTTGAATAAAGTGGTATAGAATTTCATTGTCATATCACAAGTTTATTAATAAAATTTGTGAGTTTTATAAAAATAGTTTTATATTGTGTGATATGACGATCATATAAAGGGCTATAATATTAACTGAAAGATATTGTTGTATAAAATATACAAAAACTGTATTATCAGAAACGTTGGCAAACCTTTCACTTGAGGGCAGAAAATAATAGTTGGTATAAAAGTTTGTGATAAAATAGCCTTTCAGTTAATTCCACTTTTAATACCACTCTTTGTGTAAATAAATTGCAATTCAAATTGTTTTCTCTGCTCTGAGAGGGGGAGAGAGAAAGAGTGAGCAAAATAATTAAATATTTTTCTATATTTTCTATTAATTAATTCCAAGAAAGTAAATAACAAAGTTCCTAATTTTCTGCAATAAACGCTGTGTTTATTTAGACAAAAACATTTGTATTACACACTGTTTGACGACAACTGTTTTAAACGTATTTATTTCACTATTGATTCACAGGAAGTGGCGGAAAGTGTGATATGTCTGGATTGGGAGAACGGATACGTGGAGTGTTCGGCCAAAGAGAACAAGAATGTGGTGAAAATATTCCAGGAGCTGATGATTCAGGCGAAAGTGCCTTACGATGTCGGGCCCGCCATCGCCAATGGGAAGCCAAGGAGAAGCTCTTTACCCGAATGTCCCACAAGTCCTGTCAGTAAAGACAAAGGAATGCCTAAACGAAACAGTTGTGCCGTCTCTTAAACAAGTCATCGCCAGAAAACCGGAACCGAAGTACGCGACCATCGGATCGACAGAAACACGATATAAAACCAACTCATTTGACTCTCGACTCTCATTTAAAATGATATTAGATTTTAGCCATCATTTATATAGCGATCTATTTATTGATACATTGATAGCCAGTAACCAAACGAATATTACAATTGACGAAAAAAGAAGTCTCACTTTTTATGTTTGTTTCGCTTTGGAATCGATAATCCATTTCATTTGTGTGAATAGAAATGTATAATTCATTCATTAAACATAATAAATACAACAAAATAAAAATACATGCTTTACTACACACATGTTGTGTTAACTCTTTTATTTT